CCCATCTAACGAAGACTGTATCCGCCTATCCCCATCTAACGAAGACTGTATCCGCCTATCCCCATCTAACGAAGACTGTATCCGCCTATCCCCATCTAACGAAGACTATATCCGCCTATCCCCATCTAAATTTGAACTGATAGACTAGAGGAATTTTGTTTCGGATATTTTCACAAAGACTTTCTACGAAACGCTGTTCCTAATTTAAACCAGAGAAAAAGCAGATAATTAACTCTTGGGCTACTCTTTTCTGATCTAATAGTGGGATTTGATCATTATTCTTATGTCGCAACCATAGCACCAAAGTGAGGAGTGCGTTTTGATAGCAATGGGATGCGGACACTATGTCTTTGAATCCACAATCCGGGCACGTTAATCACTAGGCTATGCACATCAAGCTCGTACACCTGACAAAATGGTAACTACTAGTTCGAGGATTACTGTATAATTTGTACGGAACGTACAAAACCAACTCGCTATCCCAAATTTTAACGGAGTTACGACGATACATATAAAGCGTGTATTTTACTGCGGTATTTATCTGTATGAACAGAATGTTTCATCTTTGGATCATAGCCTGTCCCAAATCTTCCGGCATCTTTTTATTTAGTTTCGTTTAGCTACGTCGTCTCTCAGAACGTCACTAAAGCCACGGAGGTTTGACATATAAGACACAACCTGTCGGTTGTCATGGGAACATATAATGTTCATGCGCCGTGTTTTCTTCACTTCATTAAACGATTGAGTAACGTTTATGAGCACGTTCTTATCTATTGAAATATTTATTTATTGTATTTGTTATTTAATCCTCTGCTTATGATATTGTATCAGAAAAAAGTATTCTTTAGTTGAAAGCAATAAATATTTAGGTTATATATATATATTATATTTTTCTGTCTGTTCTTTTGCGCATGCTCATAAATCTTTATGAAGAAGAAAGGAATTGCTCTCTCAGTTTAACAGATTCATCTCGTTCTTACAGGTAAAAATTGGAATAAGTAGGCATAACAAGTTCGTTATACGTTTTAAAAAAAATACTTTCTTCTTTGGAATAACATTATAATTTCTGATAATAAAGAACCTTCACCTGATATCAAATCGATCCTGTCTGTTAGCAAAACGGATCAAAATATCACAGTTTAGAAACAGTAGACTTGTGTCCTCTGATATGGAAAATGGTAAAGCTCTATTGGGTGCTACCCAAAGTTTGGACAAAATTGAGTTCTCAAGTGGCCAGCAACATAGTCTTTCTGTTCGATCTTCATCCGATTCTTGTTACATCTGTGCTAGGACTGACAGACGAGTGAGTGGTAAAGGCTTAGCAAGAGGATATGGATACGTTCACTCATTAGAACGATATAAAACTACTCAAATTAATCTTCTGTCCAATGGCCAATGCAGAAGTGAGATTTGTGAACCAATATTTAAAAGTCCGAAAGTCCTAAAACACCTCCAGGTTTTTAATGGATCAGAGAATGGTTTTCCTTTGGTCAGCTTCAAAGACGAGGTAAAAATCACTTATGTTAAACACGAAGACTGACATGATCGTAAACGTTCTTATGAACCAGCAGGCATAGCATCAAACGATCTTATCATGAACCATGGTCAAACAGATTTCTATGTTCCAGGAAATGTTTGTAATTTAATTTTAACATTGAAATCCTTTTATTCCGAGTGTAATGATTAGGGTTAACAAATCATAGATGTAGAATAGTGAAGCCAGTAAATGAAGTATGGTTCATTTACTATAGTTATCAAGCAGGATGGCTATGTGAAAATTTATCTACCTTTGTTATTATTGTTACTAAGTTAGTGTGTGAATGTGATTTTGTTATCTTGGTTATTATTGTTACTAAGGTAGTGTGTGTGAATGTGATTTTGTTATCTTGGTTAGTATTGTTACTAAGTTAGTGTGTGTGAATATGAATTTGTTATCTTGGTTAGTATTGTTATTAAGGTAGTGTGTGTAAATGTGACTTTGTTATCTTGGTTAGTATTGTTACTAAGTTAGTGTGTGAATGTGACTTTGTTATCTTGGTTATTATTGTTACTAGGGTAGTGTGTGTAAATATGAATTTCTTATCTACCTTGGTTGTTATTGTTACGAAGGTAGTGTGTGTGAATGTGAATTTCTTATGTGCCATGGTTGTTATTGTTACTAAGGTAGTGTGTGTGAATGTGACTTTGTTATCTACCTTTGTTATTATTGTTACTAAGGTAGTGTGTGTGAATATGAATTTGTTATCTTGGTTAATATTGTTACTAAGTTAGTGTGTGTGAATATGAATTTGTTATCTTGGTTATTATTGTTACTAAGGTAGTGTGTGTTAATGTGACTTTGTTATCTTGGTTATTATTGTTACTAAGGTAGTGTGTGTGAATATGAATTTGTTATGTGCCTTGGTTGTCATTGTTACTAGGTAGTGTGTGTGTGAATATGAATTTCTTATCTACCTTGGTTGTTATTGTTACAAGGTAGTGTGTGAATGTGACATTGTTATCTTGGTTATTATTGTTACTAAGGTAGTGTGTGTGAATGTGAATTTCTTATCTACCTTTGTTATTATTGTTACTAAGTTAGTGTGTGAATGTGACTTTGTTATCTTGGTTAATATTGTTACTAAGTTAGTGTGTGTGAATATGACTTTGTTATCTTGGTTATTATAGTTACTAAGGTAGTGTGTGAATATGAATTTCTTATCTACCTTTGTTATTATTGTTACTAAGGGAGTGTGTGTGAATATGAATTTCTTATCTATCTTTGTTATTATTGTTACTAAGGGAGTGTGTGTGAATATGAATTTCTTATCTATCTTTGTTATTATTGTTACTAAGGTAGTGTGTGTGAATATGACTTTGTTATCTTGGTTATTATAGTTACTAAGGTAGTGTGTGAATATGAATTTCTTATCTATCTTTGTTATTATTGTTACTAAGGGAGTGTGTGTGAATATGAATTTCTTATCTATCTTTGTTATTATTGTTACTAAGGTAGTGTGTGTGAATATGACTTTGTTAT